CCCGCCCCTCCTTCCCTCGCTGCCAGCCGAAGCCCGAACGGAGCGGAGCCCGGGCGGCTCATTGCGGAGCGACGCTGCAGCCGCGATGGCCACGACCGTGACCTGCACCCGCTTCACCGACGAGTATCAACTATACGAGGAAATTGGCAAGTAAGGAGCCGGCGCCGCGACGCGTTGTCCCCGGTGCACGAGGGTCAGGAGGAGGAAGAGGGCGGCGGGGGACGGTCGGGAGAGACCACCGCCACCACCACCCCTGCCCCGAGCACCTACCCGCCAAGGGCCTCCCTGAGGCGAGCGGGGGGCTGCAGCCTTGAGCTCTGCTGGACACGCGGGCAGCTAACGTGAGGGGGGGACGAGGGCCGGGCCGGTGCCTGGGCAGGGGCTGGCTTTGGGGAGGCGGGCCTGGCAGGAGAAGGGGGCGCCCCTCTTGGCTCTGGAGGGGGGGACACACACACGTCTATATGGGAGGGAGTCTGGCTGGCGAGAGCCCGGGCGGGGGTCCTGGAAAGACGGGCATCCGCGCTGCGCAGCCATGACGCACGTTGCAGAGCCGCGAACGGGCGAGCGCCTGGCTCGCGAGACGCCGCTGCGCCCGCTGCTCGGCTGCGCTGGCCCCGGCCCCCGGCCCCCTTCTCCCTGGCCCAGCCGAGCGCTCTTCTGTGGCAGCTCGGTGAAGTGCCCCCCCACTCCACCCCACCCGCCGGCGGCGGAGCTTCTTCCTAGGGGGACAACCTTCCCCATCTGCCATCCGCCGTCAATTTATTTTAGGGCGCTGAGGAGGAGGAGGAGGAAGGCGCTCCAGGTCTCCTTCGGCTCCGCTAGCCCCGAGCGCAGCGCCCCTGTCACTGCAGTGGTGCCCGGCGCTGGCGGGGGCAGGAGCGCAAGCCCCACCGGCGCCGCTTCTTTAGTCTAGCGGGAAAGCTTCGCGCTGGGCTTGGCGAGAGGGAGGAGGAGGAGGAGGAGGAGGAGGAGGAGGAGAGCACATGGCAAGGGTGGACGGGAGGGGTAGGACCAGAGGGGCCATTTTATTTGCCTTCCTCTTATTCGGGGCCCAGGAACTTGCTCCGTGGGTGGTGTGTGTGTCTGTGTGTGTGCGTGTGTGTGGAAGATCCGCGAAAAGCGAGCTACTGTGCGCACCCGCGCCTAGATCGCCTCGCCTCGCCTTGGCGTGGAGGGGCGCGTGGGCTGCAGGCAGGCGGGGAGGGGGCCCGGCTGGCTGGCTGGCTGGCTGCTTGCTTGCTTGGCTCCCCGCGGCGAAGCGGGGGTGTTTGGCAGCGCGTCTGCCTGGCGAGGAAGT